ATATGAGTATAAAGAGAAGATTTATGAATGTTTATGAAGAAGACGAGTGGGATGATATGTGATATAGAAATTGAGAGAATAAAATTATGAGTAAGAAAATTTGTCATCTTTAAATCTGGACCACTAAATTAAAAGTAATCCACAATTCATATTTAATAAAAAGAATGTATACCGATTCAGAATATATAGCTTAACATTGATTAATAAATATAAATATTTAAAATAAATAAGATTAGCGTCAAACCCATATTAACTTTATTAATTTTAATTTTTTTTATAGTTAATGTAAGACTATGCTAATTTAAATAAATAAAATATTAAAAATAAAACAAGGTTATTGTCTATTAAATCCACGTTAAACTTATTTTTTTAATATTTTTTATAATTTGCATTTGGTAAACCTTATTTATTTCAGTTTATTTATAATTAGCATCTTTTTGTCCATGATATCATAAATTAATAAAATATTTAAATTAATGTTATTGTCGGTTAAGTGAAATGCTAATTTTATATATTTTTAATATTTATTTTAACTTGTTCATAGATAAACGTCCCTTTAACTTATACTAACTTAAAAATAATAAGATTATGTAAGCTAAACTGATTATTTAATTTTAATATTTAATTTAGTTAATCTTCCTTGAATCAACTAAAATAATATTTATTTAATAAAAAATTAAAAGTAATTTTTGTTTTTGGTTTTTCTTTTAAATAATTTTTTGTGGGAAGTTGCTCCCTCCACAGCCCCAAATGCTCCCTATAACTCTCTAAATAATTTTTAATTACAAAATCACCCTTTTTTTACTTTAAATTTTTTATCTTTTTACCTTTTAATTTATGAAAGGTTTAATACCTATTTTGGTCCCTACTTTTATGGGTTTGTTTCAAAATTATCCTACCTTTCAAAAAAGTTCAGTAAGACCCCGTAATTTGTTAAAAAATGTTCAGTCTGGTCCTTTTCGCTCACATCGTTAAAAATCTAACGGTGCAAATGCCACCGTGGCCCAACCTTATTGAGTTGTCAAGTTTGATAAATACTTGGATGTTACACTGTGTAAATATTAAAAAAAATTAAAATGACACATAAGCTTCCTATGTTGTCACATTATATTTACTTGTTGCTAACTATGTTGTCATTTTTTACTCATGATAGATGGTCATCACATCAATTATTTGAAGTCATACACATTTCACAATTTGGGTAGCAATTTGTTGTCAATCTTGACAACAAGGACTGTAGTTGTAGAAAATGGTTAATTACTGGCATTTCTTGCACTCACGCCATTACCGCAATGAAATTCTTGAATTTAAATGCAGAAGACTACATTGGGAATTGGTTTAGGAAGTCTACTTATGAAGAGACCTACAACATCATCATTTATCCTATTAATGATCAACTTGTCTGGGACATAACTTCATATCCAGATGTATTACCCCAAAGAAGAGGACAATGCCAGGAAAGCCCAAGAAAAAACGAAGATTAGAGGCTTGGGAGTTGAAGAAGAATGACACTGAATTAAGAAAGGGTGGAACCAAAAAAACATGTGCTCTCTGCAAAGAAATTGGACACAACAAAAGATCTTGTCCACAACGACCTACAACACCAGATGTGCCTCCTGACCAACCTAGTGAACAAACAGAAGTTACAATACCTCCACCAACAGATGTGCCTATTACTCAGGAGTCTACTGTGCCTCCTTCTGATCAATGAAGTCATATTTAATTCAATTCTGAACACAGTCTTTTAAATGTCATGTAATCTGTACTGATGAAGGAACAATGTAATATCAGTTTTTTTTGTGTAATTTGTACTGATGAAGTTGTATTTACTCATGAAGTAATATCAGTTTTTTTTTTGTGAACTTCTTTCATAATGTAAGACAGATGTCCCTACTAGGTTTCTTTTGTTATGTTATGCACTGAGTAAGACAATGTTGCTATCAGGTTTTTTTTTGTTATATGATAATGAAAGACAATGTTTATTCATCTAGTGCTCATTCCTGTATGATGGGTATTGACCATTGCTTTATGATGTTACTTTTGCACTTTCTTTAACTTATTCTGCCCATATCAAATTAAATAAAACAAATAAGACAGTATTAAACATCATTAGAAGTCGCCTTTATAAATTAAATAGACAATAAAATTCCAAATATCAAATTACATTACAAAAACTTCCACTAAGAAATCAACTTAGTTTCATTGATATCACAATTACATTACATTCCAAATATCAAATTACATTAAAAAAACTTCCACTAAGAAATCAACCTAGTTTCATCAACATTGATATCACAATTACATTATAAACACATGTAACAAACACCACCCCCATTAACACCTTCATCCACTTCTCCAAAACAACAACACTTTTCCCCAAACAAGCTATTTTTCGCTTTTCAACATCTCTTTCTTCCATCTTCATCAGACTTTGTTCCATCTTCATCAAACTTCCACTCACTTCTTCATTTCTTGCACTTCCACTCGTGTCTTCTACATTCACCACATTTCGTTCATCAAATACTTCTTCACTGCACCACGGAAAGAAGTTGCATCCAACGAAATCTTCACTCCCACCCTATGGAAGAAGAAAACACACTCCCTCGTCAATGAAATCAAAACTCCCACCCTGTGGAAAACCAAACCACAAAAAAAGTTACGTTTCTGCTCCCATTAAACTTACCTTGAAGTTAAGGCAACCCCAAAATCTTTTGCCCTTGTTTTTAGGGGTTCTGGCAATGCGGAAGATTGCATTCTGACCACAAAAGCAAGTGGGTTTTGCACTCAACCTGCTCCCACTGGCAGAACTCTGTTGAAAGCCCCAACCCGTGCATTTGCAAGAAGAAGATGAACCAGACATTTCGTGAGCTGAACAGTGCTTCCAGAACTCTTCTTCCCCAACATGAACATGTCTAACACTTTGAAAGTCAAGGTTGCTTTAAATGTTAAGTGTTAGGGCTAACAACATAACATGTGGTTGCCATGTGGAATGCTTCATTATACAACAGAACACTCATCTAATTTAATACACATTGCCTCGTCAACTAAAACAAATTACAACTCAGCGTCAGCAGACGACGTCAGTGATAACTTAACGGAGAGGGCTTAATTGGCTCATTTTTACAAGTTTATGGACCCGATTGAGACCAAAAAAAATGAGGACCTACTTGAGATTGACACACAAATACAAGGACCAAATGAGGGTTTAAACCTTAATATATTCACACACCACCAAGTCCCTCTCTAATATCACACCTCTTTCAAATAAATGTTCCCACATCCCGAGACTGCATGCTTTTTCAATTGCTTTATGAATAAAATGTTTAAACGGGTAAAAACAGAATTTTACTCCAGTCTCCGTCAAATCCCATACCATTGTCACAGATGGAGAAAATGCTTCATCTCACAAATCGTTGCTCTTCCATCCTTTCCAATTCGTTAATGTGGACACGATTTTAACTCCAAATTTGTCTGTCCTATTCTGCATAAACAGTTCCATCAATAGATGTGAACACAGCCTAAGAGATTTGGAGGTGAATCAGAATTGATTTGGAAGAAAAGTTTGTAAAAGTTAGTGTAGAATTTGACCGATGTGACAGATAAAAAAATGTTTTAATTGATAAAAAAAATAATGAGGATTACCAAAATACCCTTAATGATAAAAGTAATGTAAAATGATATTTATTAATAATATTAAATTTAATTACTTATTAATATAGATTAATATAAAATTATTTAATTATTTATTAATATAGATTAAAATAAAATTATTTAATTGCTTATTAATATAGATTATTAAACTTTTAAAATTAATTTTATCATCTTAAATTAATATTATTGTTATAAAAGATTTTAATAAACGTTTTCAATGTTTTTAAATCTTTTTCATTATTATTAATAGTAGTTATACAAAATATATTATTATGATTAATTGATTTTTTAATTAATTTTAATTATTTTAATTGCACCTTAAATAAAACTCATTTGAATCAATTACACCTGTAACTAATTATGAAATAAAGCAAGGACAAAAATTGACATTTTATATCAATTACCTTCAAATCTCTTCTTATCAGTGGGTGATAAATTAATCATGGATTTCGCAAATCACTTCATTTTCTTCTTTCTAAATTGGTGCAAGTGAACATGAATTTATGCAGAATCTGTCCTTTCCAATCTTCTTAAACAGTAAAATCAGTGTAAGTGAACACCGCCTAAAACTTCAAACTTACAAGAACTTGTTGACTTTACAACATAAATAATAGTTTTTCTAATAATGGCTAACTAAAACTTGTTATTTGATCCAAGTATCCCTAGCAGGTTGGAGAGTATATTGAGAATTCACTATCGAGAATCTTCTGAAGCTACATAAGATCAATGAGGTTTGGTGAAAAAATCTCTTAAATGATCCAAGGGTGAAAGTGAAAATGTCTATTAAAACACGTGCTCAATTCAATCTCCACACCAATATGTATAAGTTTTCAATTCAACAAACTATCATTTTCAAACACTCTAACATATCAAATTTTACAATTTAATTAAAGTTCACAAATCAATCATCATATCATCATACAAACATCAAACATCACATATATACCAAATCCAAACCAAATAAACTAACTTTCCTTATCTAACTGACGCTCTAATGATTCTAAGAACTCTAAAATTCCTCTTACAGTTTCAAGATTTCTATTTTTTCTTTATAGTTGAAATCAATTGACTATGAGGATCTCTTCTCAAGGAACCTTCACACAATCTTTGAACTTCCAATAGACGAATAGAGTTAGAATTTTTAGAAAAAAATAAAAAATAATAATAAAATATCATTAAAATAAAATTTTAAAATTTTAGAAAGATAAAACTTATTAGATAACTAAACATCTAATTAGAAAATTCTAATTATACTGTTGATATTTTTAAAATAAAATAATAAAGTATCATTATCTAAAACACTTATCGCATATAATTCTTGATGGTTTTGTAGCTGACCCAACAAGTTATAATACAATTCTCACTTTTCTCTAAACAAATTATCTATAATACCGTGTTTCATGAAGGAAATTTAATAGCTAAAGGCTACATGCAGAACTCCATCTATAATGTGAATTTCTTATGTTTTCTTTGAATTTTGAAGGCATAACCCTTAACATTTTTTATCAGTCAGGAACATGAAATGACAATAAATTAACATCAAACAATATTTAGCTTCAAAAGGGCCACAGGTCACCCCAGATAGATCTTTTGGCCTGATGATGCAAGGTAGGGTTCTTGCTCTTTGTGACGACAATACGATCATATGAACCCTCTGAGGCATCCTTTTTGGTGGATCTGCACACATTCATTGTGACCTGTCTGCCCCTTCTGACAGGCATGAAGACAATCCTGCCCCAGCCACCTCCAAGATCAGCACTAGCTCTCTCTTCTCTCCTTTCGTAGTCATTGTCACTATCATCATCACCGTCAGTTTCCACAGCATCCGAATCATAACTTACAGCGTTAACTACTTCACAAGAAGTGTCACCAGTTTCCAAATCATCTGCTGCATCAGCTACTTCATGAAGAGTATCATCAGCTTGTTGTAACTTCATCCAGTCCTCTGAAAAATTGACAAATAAATAATAATCAAAAAAACATTAGTTTACAATCTCAAAAACCCTTTCCTGTATACCATGCAAAGGAAGCTTGTTTGGAAGCTTGTTTGCTACTAACAAATCATACAATATGTTCTGTTTCAAAGCATTCTAGGAAAAAGTTAGCATAAAGGCAAACATGTACCATAGTCAATTTCAAGATCCTCTGGATTTCTTTTTGCATGCTGCTCCTTCAGAGTCTCAAATTCCACACCCTCAAGGGGCCAAGGTTCCCTGGTGTGAGGGATGGGTAAAAAGAACAGAGTTATAAAGGATGAAACATTTATGCCTCAAAGATATGGATTTATCCTATTCAATAATCAGGGTAGGAAGGATCAGAAAGTGTTCCTTCTTTTAAGTAGAAATTGTGACCATAAGAAATATCCATAAAAAAAATGAAATCAAAACAGAAATTAATTGGAAAATATTAAGAGATACATGTCAACAAGAGATCATGCCATTAGTCTTGTTATATTTTCATGAAAAAAAGATATCTGCAATTTTTTCATCAAGAGTTTAAATTTGACACATTGTTAACATAAAGATTTTTATATTATTAACTAATTAGAAATTATCCTAAATGTGGTTTTGAAAGTAATTTATTACAAAAGTTATCAACCTTACTACCACACATGACAATCCATCATCATGATAGTATGAAAAAGTTTTACTAATTAAATTATTTTCTTCTATTCTATTTAGTATCTACATTGATTTAGTTCCAGAATGAAAGATTTAATTAAAACACTTGCCTTGGCCTTGGTCCACGTCTAAAAACAACATAGGAAAATTTCTCATCTTCAAAACCACGTAAAGGATCACCCTTTGAACGCTGTAATGGCGAAATTTAACAGCAATAAATTGCTTATGCTAATCCTTGTTGAAATCACAGGAAAAGGTGAAACTAGGAATGTAAGAAGAAACATAATTCCTTCCAGTACAGAAAGAAAAATATGAATTACACAGAAACCTTGTAGGCACGTTGCGATGAAGTCCTCTCTAAGCGTTGAACAAAATGACAATATTTTCCAGATTTTACCAGCGGACAAATCCCATCATGAGGACACTGCATGCAGAAGATTCACCAGAAAAGAGAATAAGAATGGGGCAGGCAGAAATTGAAGAAAAATGAGTTGTAAAACTAAAATAATTGGAAAAGATGTTGAGTAAAACTGTAATATACTTACAGGGGCAACCACGAACGCACCAGACTTCTGAGTGATCAAATCTTTACAAACTTCATTATTCTTACGAGATGCTTTACGATATTTCTACAAAAACAGCAAATTTCATGCTTAGTAAGAATAAAATATAGAAGGAGAAAGGCAACTATGATGCCTAAATACAGAATAGAAAGATTATTTATTATTGTTCATTTTTTCACAAAAGTAGTAAATTTACTCTTTCTTCCATCCATAATATGTGAGATCTCATCTGAGCAATAATATTAGATCCATGAGGCGTTCCTGGTTCAACCAAGACCTACAAGAATTAAATTTCACAAACGGAGATAACATTAGATATAAGATTCAAAAGAATTAAACACAATATCATGAATTCGAAGGGGCTCCCATCATTCCTTTTTAAAGAACTCTTTGAAAAAATTAACAGACATTTTTCTTTGCTCCTACCACTCCTTTTCCGCTATAATTTTGTTTTACTTAACTTAAATGCTAAAACAACACCAAGTTAATAAGTAACATTATTTATAGACAATCTCTCTTTCACATAACAATGAAAGTATTAGCAAGAAACCATACCAGAAGATCACTTGTTAGATCCCAAAGTTGGCGAACTATGGTTATTCGATCCTTTATTGATGGAATCTCTCCAAGAACATAAGACTTCAGCCAATAAAACAGATTGGTAGCAATTAGCATCAATTTACAATAAATACATGATCCTTCCAACATTACAAGAAATGCATATCGGGTTGTACAATAAAGCAATAAACTGAAGGGCTGAACAATTTAATTTATTTGAACCAAAATGTAAAAGTTGAATGGAATGAAAAAACAGCTGAAATCTGAAGATATGAAGCATACAGGAAGAGCCGATTATCTTCTAGTTCAATGAATTAGATAAGTAAACTATTAGATCTTCAAATCCATCTAACACATCTGCACGTCAATCAGAATTTCATGCATATAACACGATATGCATAACATAATAAAATTAAATGTGGGTAAGTTATAGATGGATTATACAATGTTCTTTCGTTTTAGTTTTTGGCAGTAAACATTATGTGGTAAGATACTTAAGACAATTATTGATTTTGATTCACAATATGTAACACGTGCAATTCTTTTCTACAAGAATAATTTTATTTTAGCACACTGGCCCCAGACAAAGCAGACCACCTAAACAAATCCAACATGATTTAATTTTTTTACTGAAGTCCATTACATTTTATCCTTGAAATAATTTCATGCTTTTCCAGAATAAAGTTGGCTTATTTTCATCTTTTAAAGTCACAAACTAAGTTAAAAAGTGCATACCATGATTCTATTAAATGTAAAATCCAAAAGAATAAACTTACAGCAATTACAAGGTCATGCCCTCTGTCTGATTTACCAATACTTTTAGAAAGGGCTTGAATGCTATCATAGCTATGAATAAGTGGCAAATTCTTGAGACCTAGTATATAACCAACAGCAGAAAAAATTCAAAGTCACCACTTATTGAACAGCTTTAACTTTTCTCGGGAAGTTCAAAAAGGCAAAGATTTCCAATATCAATCTTAAACAAGAAAATTCACCTATAATTCAATACAGGCATAGAATTCTGTAAAGGAAAAATCCTGGAACACACAGACAATGGTATGCACTGATCCAGCACTGACTGGAATGACTTAGGCACCCATTACAAGAATAAGTATATCCATTTCATTCATAATGATGAACCAAACATAGGAAGACAAGTTCAACTATTTCTTTCACAAATTTTAAAGTCTTCTAATTAAACTAATAATTTTCCCCCATAAATAGAAAAACTCACCCTTACAATAGGGATGACAATGGAGGGTGGCAGGTGCAAGTTTCACTTTCCCATCCTCATCCCCTAAGTAAAAATTCATCTCCATCCCAGTCCCTATATCCAACGGGTGTAAAAGTTTTGTTCAATTCCCGTTCTCATAAGGTTATGGGTATACCCATACCTGCCCCCTTACTGTTCCAAATATTAATTAAATATTTTTTTTACAAAAAATAAAAAATCACAACAAAGGAAATTATCAAGGACTCAATATCAAAGGATACACATTTTCTTTCTTCCAATGTCAAAATTAAGAAAGAAATTATAATTGCACAAATCTCAAATCAGAGTGTCAAATAGCTATTGGATAAAGGTCAAATAATAAACTAAAGGTATGTTTAGTAATTTAAAACAAGAATGAGTATGAGAACAGAGACGGGAATTGGAATGGGTATGGGGACAGTACGAATATATATGTACTCATCTCCATACCCAATTGAAAAACTACGGTATCATCCCTACTCATGCCCATACCCGGTCAATGTGAAGATTCTCTGTCACAGAACAATTTTAGACAATACTCACAAGAATGGTTTCATATGTCATATGTACCTAACAATTTTTCTTTTTTGTTTTCAACTTTCCCTTTTCAATTATATTCACCTTTAGAGTAGAAAAACCAGCATGTTTTAAGTAAGATTAGCATTACTTCCTCTAACAACAGCTTGAAGTTGAAATCATCATCAATTATTGAGCTATGAAGGTTTTAAGAAATAACTTTTCAGCAAAAGAAAAGCTGGCCAAACTGGCAGCAGTTCTATCACTTGTTAGGTGGTTACTAGTTAAAGATCCCTAACTCTTGAAAAATGACTTCCCAATCTCCGACTTAAATAACTCCTCTCAGTCATGACTCAATGTTATATATGAAAACCCCATAACTTTTAACAAGAGGGATCCTAATTTATCAATCAAAATTCTATATAATAAGACAAATTATATACATACATACATACATACATACATATATATATATATATATATATATATATATATATATATATATATATATATATATATATATATATATATATATATATATATATATCATGAAACAGCTGTTTATTTTCTTCAGTTCACATGAGAGATCACACAAAATACAAATACCATAGCAGCAGCATCTGAAACATAGCCTTTATATATACAATGAAATAACTCTATTACTGTCCTTGCTTAAGTACATAATTTTCTCTTCCCTTTCCTGTAAGTTTGGAAGAAAGGATTTGTTTCTGCAATCTTGAAATTTTTTATCTTAAGTTCATTGAATATAAAGACTACTGAACTTCTAATCAAGTCTAATAAAATATTCAAACTTTTACATGTTGAACAAAGAAGTTTGCCAAAAGTACCAGCACTCAAAGTTGAAAATAATCAAAGACTGTGTGTGCAGCACTATTGTGCATTTAACATTTCTAGCATGTGCTGCACCCCCAACCTGACAATTATATTTCCAGTATAGCATGATCTAATTACTCATCCAAGGATGCATCCGGATATGGAAAGGATAAGAAAATAATCACACTTAATCTACAAAAGTTCCCTAATAATAATCTAGCTTGTTTAAGATTTATGTCAAATGACAAGGAATTAGGTAGTCAAAAAACAATAAGCAAAATATGCAATTATGTTCTGTTCCATGATTTCCAAAAAAACATTTAAATGTACACTTAATGTAGAGGTGTTGCTCTTCCAGCCTCCTCCTAAAATATAATATGCTTTATTGTCAAATTGAAAGCAATAATAAGTCTATCACTTTTAAAGAAGATTACCACCATTTACCTTGTACAAGGCTCCGACCTGCACGCTGCATTGATTGTGATGGTTCTATTAAATTAACTTTCTCCAAAGATTTTGGCCAAACTTCTTGTAGTGCCCTACATCATAAGATTTGAAAGGCAACAAAAAAGTTCAATAACATCATAAAAATTCATATCATCAAAGTTAACCATTCACCAGAACAAAGTTCAAGAATATATTACCAGAAAGCTGAACCAGTCCCGGCACCAAAATCTAATACCTTAGATGGGGAGAAACCAGGAAGCCTTCTGCGAACCTAAAAAGGAAATTTTGTTGAGCTTAACTTCAAGCCAACATTTTATTTAAGACTGAAAGACCTTCAATGCAGTATTCATTAAAATAAAAAGTTAAAATTGAAAATATAAGTCAAGGAAATTTATGATTCACAACAATAACAATTGTCTTGTCCCACTTGATCCATACTTTAAAAATATTAAATAACATAGCAGATCCTCAACCTACATGATACATTTTGGAAATTAAGTGGAGAAAAAAAGAGAGCAAGATGAATAAGAAGACACGCTAATCCCACATATTAAGGAATCTAATCATTTATTCACTCTGTCGTGTTGAATTCACTTGAATTGGTTAAGTTTAGACAGACTTTTTCCTATAGTTCTTGTGTCGACCTAAACAACCCCTTCCCTCTAAGAAACACTTTCATCAGTATCCTAATGTTTCCTCCATACATATCATGTTCATGGATGTACTCAAAAGCATTGTCGACTTATTCGTTTTCCTTTCTGTTTCCGTCATTTATTTTATGAAGGAAAAGGTTAACATAAAACAAGTAACCCAAAATCCCACTTCACCTGGTTATTCATAACTTTTAACAACAATTACTTAACGGTAAATTATTCCTTGTTTTTCTTTATATTTTTTCCTTGATATTCTACCTCTTTAAGTACTCTGTAACAAGCAGAGTAAACAGCAGGCATTCTAGAAGCCACATAAGCAATTGTCTCATCATCTCTATACATGAGACCAATGTCCCCATAAGAGCTCGTAATCTTCCAACGTTTTGATTGTTCGAGAGACTTTAAAGGGTCTTCAACTATCTTCTTTGCTGTGGTGCTTGCCAACTGTAGATTGACATCCTTGATTTGATTAAATGATTGAGACAGTCTCAAGACTTTACTCTTCATATATGGCTCCTCCTGCTCTATAATCCCAAGACCAACATGAACACTTGCAATCACACAAATGTGAAAATATAAAGATATATATTGCAGATATGAAGAGAAAATAAGAACCAACAAAATAAAAGGACCTTTAAGGTATTTTTTAATAGCACGACGGAGACGGACAGGAATAACAAGGCAGCGCTCTGATTGTTTGGCTGCATAGCGAAGGGCTTCAGGGTTGACAAGTTTTTGTGCAGTTTCAGCTATTGTCTGGGTAGCCATGCTGACCCAGGATTTAGCAAACCTCTTTGTGGTCCAAGCAATCACGTTCCTGTATTACTGTGAACTTAGTAAGTTAGCAACAGATTTAATAAACACTGAACAGAAATTAAATTAAAACAAAAAATCTCATCCAAGCATCACAAAAATAAAATCCAAACAAACAAGACTTAATCAAAATCATAATATTTGTTCATGCCAATTCTTTTGATTTTCTGATTTCCATCTTTTCTAAGGAAGAATGGAATTCTAGAAACAAATATTCATAACCCAATCTGTTCTCTCACCTGAAAAGATTATTTTCATCATTCTGTTCAGATGTTTCAGAATTTTCAACTCTGTATAAAAGTGAAGTTCCTAAAATAGAACTGGGTGCAACTTATAATCCAACTTTACTTGGCAATAGATCCTAAATAGATCAACAGCCACCAAAAGAGGGGCGAGGACAACATCCACCAAGTAACCATACGGGTTTAATCCTCTAGTTACTGTGTAGTCCCTACATCCACCAAGTAACTATAGAGATTTAATACACGTGGTGTATAGAAGAGAAATGGAATCAGGGCCTAAACCTAAACATTTTCAGCACCATACTTAAGCAAAATATCTGCAAAATCTTCAGTGACAAATTTTACCAAACAGCTTATGAGCAAAACTTAACCAACTCGTTCTTTCTTTTTAACTTAATTTCGCAGCACCATGGAGAAATGGAGGTGCGTGTGTAACATGAAAAGGGCGAGTGACTAACCACTGGTATACTCTGGATTCAAGACTTAAGGAAGAGATTTAGTTTTGCTGGTATTTTACTTGTTCAAAGCATCGAAATTTTTCGTTTCTCTAATAACCCAATTGATACTAAGTGAATGAAGATTTGAGTAACCAATTATATTAAATCCCAGAAGAGAAAAACAATTACCTTAGCTTTGTGGGTGGATGGAAGGAAAAGTTGATGGTGCCGCTGGGTGTGGCGGAAGAGACGAAGGAGCTACGATGAAAAACCCCTCGAAAACCCCGTTGTTTCTCTTTTCCTTTTCATTATTATTACGGATAAATGTATAAATTCTATAACAAAGTTATCAACATTTATTTCATACATAATATAACGTTCAATAATGAAATTATGTTTATATTTTTAATTTTTGATCATATTATATCAACCATATATAATACAACTTCTTATATAATATTTAACGTTTTAAGTTACTTCATGCATAAACTAAGTCAAATGTTAAAAAGAGTAATCAATAATACTTGACGAAAAATAAATTAAAAAATTGTTTAATTAATTATAGTTTGTGGAAGCAAAATATTTTATTATTTAAATTAATTTTCAAATTTTAATTTAAAATAAAGTGAGTCATTAAGAGTATCTCTAATAAGATTATAACAATAACCATAATTCCCAAAACCCAATTGCATGAGATGTTTAAATTTAAAATATCATATTACAGATAAAAAAAAATTAAGTTCTAAACAAAATGAAATATGACTAAAAATTTATCAAAACATGTGTTTTATGTAAGACTCTTCTCTTAAAATAAAAAATTATAATAAGATTTTTAAAATAATATGTCACAAAACACATGAAACAAAATAAAACTTTAAGATCGTTATTAGAGATTAACTAAAACAACGTAATTGTAATTAATTAATATAACTTAATAATATTCCTCCTTAGGTAAGTAAATATGTAATTAAAATTTATTGAAAATTGAATATCTATAACTATTATAAAGGAATCCTTTTTATGTACACAATTGTATTTTAATATTACTCTTTTGAGTGACTTTTTTCTAAATTTAATCCTTTTTATTTGACTATTTTTTTAATTTTAGTTATTTTTTAAAATAAAATAATTATTTACAATAAAAATATAAAAATTATTTATATTTACTTTTATAAATATAATAATAATAATTTTTTGTCATATATGCATAATATGTGTTTTTACTAGTAATTATTAAATAACTATTTTTTTGTAATTTTCAATATATTTAAAAAGTATGAAATTCTAATTAGTGTTAATTGTATTTCTCGTATATTTTTAGTTTGTGTAAAGTGATAGAGTTTTTTTGCTTTTTACATATAAACTCTTTATATTTAATTGTTCTATCATTTAAATAAATATTAGGATAAAAGAAATGATAATTGCAATTTTGTTGGAAAACCAAAATAAAAGTAATTGCACAAGGTGAATTAAGACATCCTCCAAGCCAAACAATGCCCTTGCCATTTTACCTTTAAAGTACTTTATTCATCTGATTTGGGACTTGATCTCTGCAGTAACCTCTCTTCTAATGTTTAGCTTATAAACAAGCTAACAAGGTTGAGCTAGGGCCAAAACAAGGAGGAATTCAAAGCTAACCTAGTTTTGGAGTGACATTATTTTTAGCATCCTACGTGATGACGAAGTGACACTATTTTTAGCTTATCCTACGTGATGACGGACTTTATGCCTCAAGTCTTTTTCTCCTCTCATTTTAGACAAATTTAACTATGTATATGGTTCTAAATATTGAAATTCAAATCAAAGTCAATTAAGGTTCAAAGCAAGTCCACTCATTATAAAAAAAAAAATGAAATTATCAAAAAACAAAATCTCGATAATAGTGAAATTTTATTAGTGAAATGAAATTTTCAATGAAAAAATCAATAAAAAAATTTATCAATAATTATTGATAACCATATTAAATTAGTAATTATTGCCTTTCAGACTTTTTCTTTTTTGATGTCATATGCTCTATCCATGACTCAAGCACATTCAAGATAAGTTAGAGTTATATGCAAAGTGAAGCAAAGCACTTTCTTTAGAGCTATCATGAAGTGATTCCAAACCTTATATTAAAAGTCAAGTAATTTAGGATTTCTTTTTAGGCCTTGTATTAAGGGTCAAGTAGTGTATGGTTTGTAAACCTAGCTTGATGAAGGGTGTCCCACCTTGAGGCATGATGGCCACATGGCAAACTCTTAGTGAAGAGTTTTTTTACAAAGATAGTGGTCTTGTGTCATTTTCTAAGTGGATAAACTTTTTCTAAAGTGAATTGTCAGATGACACTTTAAGAGTGGAGAGATTTTAGGGTTTTGGTCTACTTTGGAGACACATTCCTCTATAAATAGAGGTGTCTCTGCCCTTGTACAATCACTTGGAGAATTCAGAATATTATGCTGTCAAAATATTTGAGCAACCATATCTTGTTCCAAGTCAAGGTTGGAGCATCCCTTGAGGTCCCTTTAGTCATCCTTCTCTAGAGTTAGTCCAATCTCTTAAGAGATCCATCAAACAATTTCATTCCATCACAAATACTCACCAAAACCGTGAGCACCACCCCCAAAACCGTGAGGTTCACCACCATATCCATAGCTTTTGCGCCACTTCCACCTCCTTAGCTTCATCTTCTTGCTTTGGTCCAATGTGGCTTGAGGAGGACGTTATCATTTCTCCTCCTTTTTGTTCTCCTATGATTTACCTTCATTGTTCTTTGATTCTGTCTCATTTTCTTCATTCCTTCTTCTTCATCTGATTCTTCTTCTCACTTGTATTTAATAGCATGTCCAATTAGATTTAACTGGAATTTTGGTAATCATTTTAACAACAAATTTATCAACAAATTTTTAAAAGAATTCAATTAATGACGAATTTTACCATTAAATGGTCAAGACCCAAAATAAATAGCGCGAATTTTGACATCTATTTTACTGATAGATTACTAAAACATCCAATTACTAACAAATTTTAATCGATGAATTCATTATTTATGAAAATATTCGTCTAAATTTTTGACAAATCCATTACCCACCAAAATATTCATCGATAATAAAAATTCTAAAATTCATTAGTATACCTTATTTTATAAAAGAACTTTTACTCATATGTAAAATTCTTCCGATAAATACAAAATTACCTATAGTGACTTATGTCTCTATGAAATTCTAGAAAAATTCAAGAAGGAAGTGCATCTATGCAATTTTTACAAGACTAAGAAGAAAAGGAAAATACTAATATTCTACTTTTCAAATTAAGAAAGTGTTTTTCTTTGAGGTTTGATAATGTTGTCGTTGACGCGATCAAATTAATACTACTAAACTATAGCAACTTCAATATTGTTAAGATAATAGCCAACAAAATAAAAAGGGCAAATTCAACCCTAAATCATCTCCTAACAAACACACGAAATTCATTTTTAACAAATTAGTTCTTATAAAAACTATACAAAAGGGTTAGTAAAACAAAAACAATAAAGAAGTTAAAGATCATATAACAGATTAAGGAACAAAATAACAAAAAATAGAAAGAAATAAATTTATTAAAATATTTAAAAAGATAAAAACAATGATAAAGAAAATAGGTTGATTTTACTACATTTTCAAAATACGATTCATCATTGGTTATCAAAAGATTATTGTTCAATTAATTATTGTCTTAGATTTTCAAATTAATCAATGTAAATTCTCAATTAATTTTTTGGCATTGTCACTCTTAACCAAAGTACATTCTCAATTAAATATTACCATGTCTAATCATGTATATATTTTCACCTCTTATATAAAGTAAAAAGTTAATTAACCAAAGTACTAATTCTTGTTAAATTTTTTACCACTAATTAAATAACATTCTCAATTATTGGCAAAACTCCATTCAATTACATGAAAGTTTCTAACTTTAATCAAAGTAAATTCTCAGTTAAAAATAAAAACATTTGGACTCATATGATTGATATGTTATGTAGATTTAACACCATGTTTATTTTGGTATAATGTAAAAATCATTACTTTTACTTGATTAAGAAGCAAAAGATAGATAAAAATCACAACAAAAATAAAAAAGAACAAACAAATTTATTCATTTAATCTCATAATCCAATTAAGAAATTACATCAGAATCAACCACAGACTTAACACTCCATGAAATGTAGAAATAACATGAAAACAAAAGAAGAGAGGATATAGAACATCAGAGAAGAGAGAGAAGACGAAATTTGAACCCCCAAAGGGTTCCTAAGCTCTCTAATGTGTTTCCCTGTGTCTCTTTACAGAGAATTTGAATTGGACTTTTCAGACTTTCTATTATTGTAATATTCTTTATGATAATGTAATATTCTCCAAATATCTTTTAAATAATTCAATATCTTTAAGATATATTTGATTGTTGCAGAGATCTAAAAATATTTAAGAAGATATTTACTAGATTTAAAAAAGATTTAGCAAATATTATCTTTTTATTTATTGATATAGTTAAATAAGGTAATTATTTAACAATATCAAATAAAATATATTAAGATATATTTTCTCCAAATCATCTTTAATCATAAATATTTATGAATTATCAAAACTCTTTTAGTAGAAAAAATACAGAAAATCATAAGATCCAATTTTTGTTGTTTGTTTCTTCTTCTTGGTTTAGTCAAATTTCTTCACTTTTTCATGTTATATATCCTTGGATTGACTTCTTGTCGTCTTGATTATTTTCTATTCTTGGATTTATCTTTAAGGTGTCGTAACACTTTAACCAATTTTTTTTCACACCTCCATGAGCTACACTAACACACCTCAAAATATCCAAAGATCATTTATTCAACTAAAAAACTATTTTTATCATGTTTTTGTATCTCATACTCAATAAACTCAATTATAACAAATCGTAAATAAAATGTTCTATTAAAGTACAAAAACTAATTAAGAATCCAATATTAAAAGATAAATAAGGATATAAATATGCCCTGATCAATGTCTCATCTTCTTTTATCCTTTTAGCCATGACTTTAGTGGTTAAATGGTTTTTACGTCATATACAAGCATTTGTGAGTGGTATAATAGGATTCCAATAAAAGGTAGAATGATATCATATTAATTAGTGAGTTTAAATCTAAATCGTCAATACAAGACTAACCTATAAAATAAAGAATGTACCAAGTTATATATGGCAATTTGGTATCATTTGTAACCAACGTAGAAGCCCTAAAAAAGTATGAAAGTGAAAAGGATGGCTATGTTAGTAATAATGAGAAACAAGCTTTAGTTAACATGTCTTATAGACGGTGAGGTTTATGGTGG